CGTAGTTAGTTAAGTAAGTTTAGTTACGAACGACGTCGTACGAGAGAGAGAGAGAGAGAGAGAGAGACGAATGCACGATGGTAAGAATTATCCCTTTGTGTCTGGATTTAAGCATGTTCGGGAATCGTAGTAGTCGTGCGGTGTCTGATATAATTGGGGCGTCAGAAGGCTGATATTAAAGTACAGCAGTGATGTTTTTTTTCACGATGTATGACGCTGTACACTCCATTGTAAATACCATTAATTTTCTTTAGGAAAGCCAGAACTATCACCGTCATCAGCTTTGGATAATGACATAGTATAATAGTATGTGATAACTATTGGCCCTTATTCAATAGAACAACAAAAAACTATTTTGACTACATATGCAATACATCTGATTCTTTTAAAATTTAAAAATATAATAATAATATACATTTGGTGGTATTCGCCCTTTGGTGTAAAACCAAGTCATAGACTCCTTGGTGCAAAACCAAGTCATGACATGGAAACCTTGTTTGGGTTCAAAAGTTTTATGAGTGTACATTTAAAAAAAATAGTTCTTGTATTGATTTCCTCTTTTGATTGGTAATCTATTTATAAAAGTATATATTCTTATGGTACACACACAAGGCCGTGGACAATAGGCCGTTTGTGCTTCCTGGTGACTGGTGACAGTGGTGAGTGGTAACTCGGGTGGGCTGAGCGCCTGAGCCCGATACGGGGTTTCGAAATCAACGAACAAGATTTTTTATAAAAAGAGTTTTAGATTTAAGGGCTGTCTTTTTTTTAAACGGGTTCGGATTTATGTTCAGATTTTTTTTTGGGCGAATCAGTCTTTTAATTGTGTCCTAAGATGAATTTTCGGACTATTTCTTTAAAATGGACAAAATTCGTTTACATACTAACCAATCACAAAGCCTGTGAAGTTAAACACATTTCCTAGATTCCAGTAAAAAACTTACGTATTTAAAAAACCGCAAAAGTGAGTTTACGTAGAAAAAAACGTTAATAAGGGGTACGATACTACGATGCCCTCGTTCGGATTTATGTTAGGATTTTTTTTTCGGACTTTATTTATTCTTTTTGTTGAAATTTTAAAAGTAGCCTTCACCTATTGGTGTAAAGAAATTTCGAGCGGCGTGTTTACGTATTTCTATTCAAGTGGTGTCACTTTTTGATGAAGTTCTGAACAGCCCGGAACAGGCGAACAGGCGATCAACCTCTTTGATATTTTTTCATGAAATAATTGTAACCCTAAAATCCTAAAACTTGCCGAGGTCCATTCTTATATTCACGAGTCATACATGACTCATGAGGGTTCGTGTTTGGATGGTATTTTACTATAAATAAAGCTCTGGGAAATTTAATCTCTGTCAGGGTTTCCCACAATTTTCATGTCTCATTAAATCACTCTACTATATCAGGGGCTATGTCCCAACCCAAACCTTTTTTTTTTTCCAAATAGGAATTTTGAAAACATTATCTAAATCGTTAACTACGTTTATTATTATAGAACAATCTATATGGTCTATTGGCTTCGAGAGGCAATTGCGAGATAATATCATATTTGATTGAACATGGAAAAGATAAATATGGATTATGATAAGCTGTTTTCATACAAAATGTAGTATTACTGGTCTGTTCTAAATATAAAGGTATAGTTTTCCGTCTCCAAATTAAGAATCAAGTAAAATTGGCGCGTTTATTGAGTGCTGCCACATCACACATGGCAGCAGGTGTCACCACACAAAAAAAGAAAAAAAATGGTCAAACAACTATTATATATAAATGCTATTCGCTGCAGAAGTCTTCCGGTATACGCTTTCATCTGGCGCAACAAAAGCAGCGCAACAGCGCGAAAGTAGAGCAAGAGCGCGACTGACTGCTCTGTTTACAAATGGTTAACAGATGAATACAGGAGTCTCCCATGGTTGCTACTATCTTCCCCGATACTGGCACACAACTGACAATAGTTGCAGATATTAGACCAGATATTCACCACGTGAGACGGGATTGAGAGAATATAGAGAATATCCGTCTCTGAATCTACTCAGTCAATAAAATAGTTGAACTGATGCAGTATGCAATATATCTGGTTACAAGTGTATAGCGTATTGATTTTAGTTATAAGTACACACGAAGATATTAAAGTATGTATTTTATTAATTGAACAGTCCATTGCAATATATTTGGTTACAAGTGTATAGCGTATTGATTTTAGTTATAAGTACACATGAAGATAAGTGTATTTTTGTGTGTGTGTGTGTGATATATATAATATATATATGTATACATAGTATATATATATATATGTATATATATATATATATATCCACAATATATATATATTATATATATATATATATATATATATATTTATATACATATGTATGTATGTATATATATACAAATATAAATAATACATAGCATATATATACATATACACACAC